CTGACTTTTGAAGGCCGCGCTCACACACAATGCTTCCCATTAACAATCCGTCTGTTAAATTTCGCAGTCTCTTCTTTTTTTCTCCCTCGGATCTTTTTTTTTGGGATGAAGAGATTTTCGAGCGTGCAACTTAAAAAAAAAAAAAAAAAAAAAAAAAACAAACAAAATCTCATTGTACGATACGTTCCGCTAATGGAGAAGGGTCAACGCGCCAAATGGCAGGTCGTAAGTAATCGCGATTATTTTATTCCGCGTTAAACGAGCACGCGAAATGATCTTCTCTTTCTTTCTCTCTCTCTCTCTCTCTCTCTCTCTCTCTCTCTCTCTCTCTCGGCTTTCCACGATGATATCTCGCATCAGGCTTCCTCTTACGTACCGAGGAGCTCGTTCGATTACATTGTGAGCATTCGTCGTCGTGATCGCAGTTAGCGACGACGAGTCACCCATCCACCCACCCTCGCGTATGACGACGAGCACCATCCGCGACGACCGGTTATCGAGACATCGAGAGCTTCTCGGTAGTTCGAAGGTGGTCTTGGCTTATCTCCGAAGAGAGAGAGCGGCCGGTACGCGCAACCGTCGCTCTCTTTTTCTCTCTCTCTGTCTCTCTTTCTCGTCGCGAGACTCTGTGGCCGTGACTTTGTCGGCGAAACCTTCCCGACGGGGATTACGTCCGCGCGGATAAAGTGCACGAGACGCGCACGGATGCGCTGATCGGTCCATTTGCGCCGGCGATTGCCGATGCGAACCGGCAAGTTATGAATTTTGTTCTACGATCTTTCTGTACTTTCTCCGCCGTTTTACCGTGGAAACCGGAATTTTCACACAGTTGTGAACGTTTTTTTTTTCTTTTTTCTTCTTTTTTTTTTTTTTTCAATCTTGTGATTTTAGTTTTTTTATTCCGTAAAGCCATCCTTTACGAAACAACAGTAACAATATTAATGAGAGATTGTATTTCCGATTCAACCGGGAATGTAATTCTCAACTGAATAAACTAAATTTTTGTAATTTTATCTGATTTTTGTTTTTCATACAATATTGTTTTTTTTAGTGGAGCGCATTAAACACGTGGATGATAAATCACGCGCATGCGATTATTCTTCATTTCTTCTCAATCGTTTCGTTCTCTCATTGCGTTGTGTCCGATTACGGGAATTGTCGCGTAAATCATATATGTATATCGCGTAGGCTGTCGATCGCACGCCATTAGCGGAGGAAGCGCGCACCGAACAGCTGTTGCGGCCTGAAATAAAGAGACGAGACCGACGAGCATGTGAGCTCTGATTACGCGCGTGTTTACGCACAAGACGCGACATGAATCTCTCGATCCGGTACCGGTACTCTTTAATAAATGTCCAGTCATCGCCTGATTCGCGCGATTCACCGCATTACACGAGCTGTGAACGTATACAATTCGCAAAATTTGCAATTTTTATTATAATTTTGTTTTTTTTTTTTTTTTTTTTTTTTTATCTTGTCTGGCAAATGTGTTCTTTATCACAAGTTAATCACACGTACACGAGCTTTGTTTCACGCGCAACAATCGGTACCTATTATCATTTTTATTGCGAACTAACGAAGTAGTACGAGCGATTGAGTCAGCGGATTATAATATAATCGCGCTCGTATAATAAAATAATCGCCGCGCACACGCGCGCGCGTACGCGGTTGTTTACAACGAACTTAAGTATTTCCTTCCGCGGCGGAACGAAGCTCGCGGAACGACGCGATTGTCCTTGGCGAGAGAGACGAGCGGCTCGGCGGTATGAGTCACCTCGACTTGACCGTGGGATTTGGTCTCCAGTTTCTCCATTATCACCTTTTGTGTTCCGCTCGCAACTCTCGCGCTCTTCTCTTTGCCGCGCGCGTTTGGTTTTTCGTTATGTTATTCGACCACCGCTGTAATACACGTACGCTTGTCTCTCTTTTTCTAAAACTTGTTGTCGAAAAATTGAGACTTCCGAGTATTTTCGTGTATATATATGTGCGTTTGTGAAGATCAAAAGTGTGAGAAAACGACCGAGGGGGGGGGAGTCGCGCAAAGAGAAAAGCGCGAAGATAATGCAGTTACGCATTACCTTGAAATAGAGAACTCGCATTATGCGGGTCGTGGCTACTTGTTTTCCTCGCGGTATTCTCTCCCACGTCTCTTCGCGAGAAGAGACAGCGAATCGACGCATCTCTGTGTTTTACGATCTCCTCTCTCTTGTGTACACGCAACTCTTGTTGTTTTATTCGAAAGAATGCAATCGGTATACCTATAATGCACGAATATCGAGTTTGCGAGAAAAAATGCGAAAGAAAACTAAATTTATGCTGCATTGGTCAACGTTATTTTATTTTTTATTTTATTTTTTTATTTTATTTTCAATTGCTTGGTGTCGTCACGTTTGTTGTATTTTTTATCAATTTTTTTACTGTGGCGCAAATAGAATATAAAGAAAAGAAATATTCTCCGACACACATTTACGTGTACGCGTCATGTTGGGAAATTATCAGACGCGCGTGAAACGACGATGTTAGAAAAAAATCTTTATCGCAAGAAAAATTAAACCGATCGCACGTACGTGTTTCTCCGTCCGCGTTTAGATTCGGCGTTGCGATAACACGCGCGTGTGCATTCGAGATTAATACTTGCGATGTGCGTGCGCGCACATTCCTGACTAGGCAAACGTCTCGGTTTCTCTGTCGCGCGCATCCGGCGCGCATACGAATCCTACGGCGCGCGAGGAGGAGTGTGAGCGAGCGCAGTAAAGAGACGTGCGGAATGCGCGGAATGCAACGGAGGGAGGGGCCCTGCCTGCGTCCTCTCTCAATGTGATCCGGGGCTGCTCTCAGCACCTTCGGGGTACGTGATTTTTTTTTTTTTTTTCTTTGCGACGCGTCGTCACTCCGTCCCGAAACCGAGAGCGAAGTTCGATATATCAGTCGCGCGCGCGCGCGCGCGGAGATCGAATAACGCGTTGCACGCAAACGGTTATTTAATTAGAAGTGATATCCGAGACCCGCAACTCTGATTGCCGAAGCCAATCAAAAACGAAACTTCTCGGGAACAGTTGAAAAACTGCTGAATCCAATCGCACTCACGGCGTCTATACGCGATCAGAGAGAGAGTTAATTAATTAAAACTCATATATATATAAGTATAATACAAAACTTTTATATAAATCGGGGGGAGAGAGAAAGAGAAAATTAGTAATTAATTAAAAACTGATCAAAACAGTTGAAACTTTTGACAAAATCAATCTGTCAGAAATTATGGGAACCGTCGTGGATGGTGCGAGGCATCTAAGAACGTCGAAACTAGCAAGTTTTAATAGCGCGGTTGCAGCTTTGCGCACCGAGTCATTGCGAACGGGTTTTGTCAAAGTTGAACAACGTCCCAACCCGAACTGTCAAGCCAGCTGCTGCCAACGGACACGCGCACGCGTGTTGTTGCCGGATATGCGTGTTCGTTCAGAATAATGCAATATTCTCGGTCGCTCGACACGTAATACACGATCTCGCGTGCAACAATTCCGGACGGTTCTCGAAAAGGGAGTTGGAGGGAAGGGGGGGTTACAACAATATGACCACGACTCCATTCACCGGATACGTTCATTTGGCCGGGACCGGGTACGTACGCGCGACTAATTCGGGTCCGGTCGAGCAATTGCGGACGGTATAAGCAACGGCAGGTGCATCCGACGCAAGCGGAGCTTCCGTGTTGCGTAGGAGAACGTGTGCGTAAACCATACATCGCGCCGAGACAATAAGCGGTGCGCTCTTCGAGGATCGGGAACGAGGCTAATTAACGCTCTCTGATGCGGAAGCTTTGAGAGAGAGAGAGAGAGAGAGAGCAAAAGAGCCAGACGGCGCCAACGCGAATACCAAGCAGAAGCTGATGCGGAGAAAAGATCGTGGTGATTGTGACTTCCCTTTTGCGAGTTCAATTGGAGAACGGAGAGAAACGAACCTCCTCCTTGCGTCTTTAATTTTCGCTCGAATCAAAACGCGCAATTTAATGCGCGCGTGTTTGCAAATTTGCATTGAATATTTTTACACAACAAGTAATACAAAAAAAAAAAAAATGCGCGTTGTAACGAAGATTAAACTGTGCGTTAAAATAATCATCATGTTTTTCAAAATCAACTAATGATAATGTAAAAACTAAAAAACGTGAGAGAAAAGATCGCACTGTGAAAACTTACGGAATTAGGAAACTTAATTAATTTGTTTTATTATTGCGTTTCTCATTTATTCCCACGAGAGAACAACGAAAGTCACTTAGGTGTATTAGATTAGAACAGGAAAAAGGTCGCGAGCTGCTGGTGTTTTTTTTTTTTTTTTTTACTAATATACAATTACTTTATTCGTTTTATTAAAATGACATAAGATAGGAATAAAAAAAAAAAGAAAAAAAACATGATTTCGTTACGAGTTATGATAGCGACGGTGACTTAGCAGGATCGGGGAGTGTTCCTTCGCAACTTTTAATTTATCTCTCCTACCTTTTTTACTCTCTTCCCGTCGACCTTGCCATCGTAATTAAGGGCCAATTTCATTAAGAGGAAAGGACACGGTGAAAAAAACAGAGTCGCCAACGGCGCGCAAGAGAGCCACTTCGTAGAATGATTGAACTTGTCGCGCGAATATGTAGAACTCTTAGGGGGATTTGCTTTCTCCGTGTATGTGTGCGTGCGTGCGTGTGTGTGTGTGCAATTTGCGGGCGTACTTATGTAGATGCATTTACGTGTTCGCGAGCGAAAGACGCACAACTGCGAAAGGCTCGACGTCTCTAATTAGTCGTCCTAGTTCGCGCTTGTTTAGAGACACTTAAGATTATTTCTACTTAAGCCGCGTGGCGAATGACTACGCTGTTACACAAAAAAAAAAAAAAAACGTACATGTTTCGCGATGAAAACGAAACTTGCAACACTTGTCCCGCTAGTAGTAAGATGTCGTAAATCAGACATTGCATGGTTCTCATGTGTTTCTTCGTGTTTCTCGTGTTTGCACAGAATGAAGAGATGATCGCGAGTCTGCCAATCAACGGCGGCGGCAGTGGAGGGCCGGTGAGCCACCGCGTGGGTCGTGGATTGGCCTTACACAGGTCCAATTCCAGCTTGGAGCTTCCTCACAGTCCGGATCCCGCATCTCGAGTGCCAGAAACGCCTCTCAGGAGAGAGTATGGGTCTCACGGTAAGTGTTTTGAATTTTGTGTCTTTGTTTTTTTTTTTTTACAACAAAAAAAAAACTGGTGTATCATTGACTAACCAATCGCGTAGGGAGCATCGACATAGTGGCGCAGTCCATCACGACCGGCGAGAATTTCTTCGCCATGCTGCAGGACTTCCGACCCCCGGAGCAACGCGGTCCTGTTGCGGGCGATTATCTGCGTCGCGTTCATCAGCAGGACGGAGTTACTGTTCAACAGCTCGACGACGTCGACGGCGGGGCGAGTGGCGCCGGTTCCAGTCCGAAACAGCGACTGAAGTTGAACAGATTGTGGGGCGGTAAGCCGCCGCGAACGATGGAGGAATCGTGCACCAGCCCGGTGGCGTCGGCCGACGTGGAGGAGCGACATCGGAGACGAGCGTTCGCCCATTACGACTGTCAGTCGTTGACGGCGAATCTGAGCTACGCCGCGAGACTCAGGGGAATTCTTTTGGCCAAGAGAAGAAACACGGCCACCGGAGCGTCAGCCGCTAGCGCTCTGAGAGCCGCCACCCCCGACGAGACTCCCGAGGATGACGCCGGCGATGGAAAAGGTACGTTTTGAAAGAAAACCTCATCCGTATGAAACAAATCATCTCTCAATGACTTATGTTGAACGTTTATCAAATGTTTTCTTTTCGGCAATTTCAGGTAACGACCTGCTGGAGCCGTGTCCCTTCTTTCGCAACGAAATCGGAGGCGAGGGGGAACGCGAGGTCGGTCTTACTCGCTTCTCTCAGGGTAACGGGATTCATCGGCCATCGTTGTCTTACGGAGTGTCCGTCTTGGAACCGCTACCCGGCGAGACCATGTGGAAGCATACTTGTCCACTGCAGAAGCGACCACTGCCAATCGAGAGCGTCGACGAAGGAGCTTACTATTACCGGCGATACTTTCTCGGTAAGTAGACGAAGAAACGTTCAATTTGTCTCGCGAGAAAAACACAAAATATCTATTTTGTTGCAGGACGAGAACATCAAAACTGGTTCGGCATGGATCCGCAACTGGGACCAGTGGCCATCAGCATTCGCAAGGATGTCAATCAGTATCGCGTGATCGTGCGCACGTCGGAGTTGCTGACGTTGCGGGGTTCCGTACCGGAGGAGGCTCTTGGCATCAGGCTGCAGGGTCGGCAACCCACCAGGGAGCTTCTTGAGCTGATCGCGCCGGAAGTCCAACTGAGTTGCCTGAGGCTCGGCACGCCTGCCGCCGAGGACGCGCTGACCAAACTGGACGAGCAAATGCTGTCCAACACGTACAAAGTTGGCGTTCTGTACTGCCGAACCGGCCAGAGGACCGAGGAGGAAATGTACAACAATCAGCACGCCGGACCGGCTTTCCTGGAGTTCCTGGACACTATCGGTAAAATTCTTTGTTCGTTTGTTAACTTTTACTTTTTTGTTTTAAAATCGCTTGTACAAACGTCGCGCGCGTTATAAAATTGTTCTGATTTATAATGTTCCTCGCGTGCAATTTGTTTCATTAGAAAGGAAACAGAGAGGAAGTATCTTTCTCTTTACATTTAGAAAGTCTTTGCAATTAACACGTTTGGCGAGTCGGAAAATTTCCATCGAAAATCGATAAAAATCATTTCTTCGTGGGTACTACAACTTAAACAATTCAAAAAAAAAAAAAACAAAAAGCAATTTACACGACGTTACGAGCAAGTGTTGCGACGCCGGTTCGAGAGTCACTCTTTATTGTCTCGGTTAATCGATTCAATGTTACGGAATAACGTTGCTCTCGACGCTCTTCGCGGTTAATGCTAATCATCCGCGAATGTGTGTGTGCACGTAATTTCGCGGTTGTTACGCGGTGTTGAACTCTGCGAATCATTCGCGTCTACGATAATCATTCATCACCTTAGTTTATCCCTATTAACTAAGTTGTGCTGTCGCTTTCTAAAAGAGAAACGCGCGCGCGTCCTGCTTTTGTTTCCTCCTCGAGCATCGCGTCGTTCCCTTTTCCATCGTTTTTCACGCAAAAACCGGATGATGAATCCCGCGAGCGAAATTACTCAACGACACGTTTTTGCATAATTCTAAACAGGAATAAAACAAACGAAATATTAATTTCGAGAGAGAGAGATTGATAATACAAGTTCCTCTCGCTCGTGTTAAACCTGTTTCTCGACGCGATCAACAGGTTGCAGTGTGTATCTTTTATCATATTTTATTGTTACTTTGTTTTTCTCGAGTGCACAATCGCGTGATCGCCAAAAAAAATTGTCGACCAAAATATATTCTCTCGACGTGACAATTTTTTTTCGTGCAAAAATCGCGAAAACAAAAATTTCGATCGATGATGCTGCTTCGGGTCGTAGTCGATGCGCTCGGAGAACGAGACACGGCGGGACACGCCGGGGGGAGTATAACGAGATTTCTTCGCTGCGCGCAAGCGAAGGCAATTGAGATAATTGCATGTTTCCACGACAGGCCAAAGAATAAGACTGCGAGGATTCGAGGGCTACAAGGCTGGACTGGACACCAAAAACGACTCGACGGGCATGCACGCGGTAGTGGCGACGCATCGCGGTGCGGAAGTCACCTTTCACGTGTCTACCATGCTACCTTTCACGCCTAACAACCGGCAGCAGTTGCTGAGGAAGAGGCACATCGGAAACGACATAGTAACGATAGTTTTTCAGGTACAGTTTTCCTCTTCGTCGTTATAATCGCGAATTGCGAATCAAGGTGATTGCGCAATTGCGTGTGCAATTAATTACCTCATTATTATCGTCGCGACAAAAAAACGCGGATATGACACATCGTTCTTGAATCGCGCGCTTTAAATTTATTATGCGGCTTATTCATCAGGAGCGACGAGGTGAGATATCGCGCTCAGCCTGAGTGATTCATTTTATTGGACATTTTATTGCCGTCGCATCGAGGTCAGAAATAGTATTACGTACGTAGCGAATACGTTACGTACTTACGTCAGAATTTGAGAAATAATTCATTCCACATTTGCGCGCGATGAAGAAAGAATTAAATTGTTGCAAATAAATCGATTTTCTCTCTATATATATTTATTTTTTTTTTTTTACAAAATTACAAGATTTTGTTTTATATGATTGAGTGGGTCTTAACAGGAACCCGGCGCGTTGCCGTTCAGCCCGCGAAGAATACGTTCGCATTTCCAACACGTATTCATCGTCGTGCGGGCCATAAATCCCTGCACCGACAACACGCAGTACAGCGTGGCGGTGTCCAGAAGCAAAGAAGTGCCAATTTTTGGCCCACCTGTTCCGCAAGGCGCTACGTTCACTAAGGGAAAGGCTTTCGCGGACTTTATACTGGCCAAGGTCATAAACGCCGAAAACGCAGCTCACTGGTAAGATTCTTTTTTTTTTTTCAATTTGACAATAAAATTAGTCGAACTAAATTATACGTATGTATATGTGTGTGTGTGTGTTTTTCAGGTCTGAGAAATTCGCTACGATGGCTACAAGAACGAGACAAGAATATTTGAAGGATCTAGCTACGACCCCGACTTACATTACCACCACAGTCGTCGATACCGGTCAGAAATTCTGTACGTTGCAATTTCAACAAAAAAAATTTTATATTCATAGTTTCTCTTAATTAATTTTAATTAAGTTTCTTTTGTTAAATATATGTGAACACAAAAAAATTTTATGAGATTCTTATAGTTTCTTTTTTGTTTTTTTTATTTTTTCGCAAAACAGCAATGCTCTCCTTCAGCAGTAAGAAGAAGATCACGGTACGACCGAGACTTTCTTGCGACGCGTCGCAGCGCGGTGCGATTTGCTGGCAGGTCATACTCGAGGACAGTAATCAGAACACGGATTGTTACTTGGGCATAAGCATAGACACCATTGTGCTGATCGAGGAACACTCGAGACAGATAGTATTCGTTACTCCCTGCGCGAGCGTGCTCGGATGGCACGCTCAAACAAACAGGTAATCATCTCCGAACGTTTTAAGAAAAGATGGAATAATTAATACCCCTTCACGCGCGGATGACTATTATTCTCTAGAATTTAGAGTTTGTTTTTTTAAAGATTATTGAGAAAACATTTAAAATATAAAGTTTTAATCGCGACAACCTCTTATTAAGTCGCTTGTTATAGAGCAACAACCGCCCATTATTGCATTATTCGCAACCAGTTTATCGTAAAAGAACGTTCGCGAACGATCGGAAATCGAACGACTAATTGCGACCTCAATGTTTTTTTTTTTTTTTTTTTATCCCCCCGCTCTGCGTTCCAGTTTGAGATTGTATCATCATCAAGGCGAGTGCATTACCATACACGTACGCGGTGATTATGGCGAGAGGGACGAGTTAATGGAAATTGTGGCTCGACTGCGCGCCGTAACTCAAGGCGCACCGGCCTCGGAGTTATCGTTGAAGAGAAACAGTCTGGGACAATTGGGTTTCCATGTTCAACCGGACGGTGTTGTAACGCAAGTCGAAAGCATGGGCCTCTCGTGGCAGGCTGGTCTAAGACAGGCCTCCAGGTTGGTCGAGATCTGTAAGGTGGCTGTGTCGACCTTGAGTCACGATCAAATGGTCGATCTGCTGAAAACCAGCGCCCAGGTTACGATTACCGTTATACCACCGAACAACGACGGAAATCCAAGAAGGTAATGAAATCATCCCAAAAAACCTTACCTCTCTTTCTTCTTTAAATAATTTATATAAGTATTTAATTATTTAATAAATTAAAAAAAGTATAAATTAATTCAACATTTTCTTTTATCGTTTTTTTTTTTTTTTCAAACAAAAATCAAATCGACAGATCGTTTTTTAAATTCTATTTAAAAAAAAAAGTGTTTTAACACAATAAACTAATTAAGTAAACAATAACTAAACTCTAAGATAATAAATGAATTGTTTTCTTTCTTCATACGATAGAGGCTGCACGTTGCAAAACTGTCATTATCTATCGAACAATTACGAGGGGGATTACGAGAATGTAACGAGCGCGGATAATACACCGAGTCAACAAACGGCGATGTCGCATCAACGACGATATGATCGATCGTTCAGCCCGCCGCGATCGAGCAACAGCTCCGGGTACGGTACTGGATCGAGCTCTAGATCGTTCAACGATCCACGGTTTCCGTTGGAGGGTACAATGACTAGCAGCAGTAGTGGACACAGTAGTGCTGATGATCGTTGGTGAGTGATTAACAACGAGAGCATATCAATTCTCACGATTCGTCGCGGTAACGTTTTTTTTTTTTTTTAAAAAAACAAAGCGTTTGTATAAACTGTAGATCGTTGAACGTATACAAAGTGCATATAATTTATGGCATCGATTTTCATGATTAATGCAGACGTTCAATAAATGAAAACACAGCGTTTTTTGTTTTAGGTATGAACTTCTAGAGCCGCAGGATCAAGACGGCAATCATCGCGCGAACGGCACGCCGCCACCGTTGCCGGCGCGACAGAATTACCAAGTTGTGACACCTAGCAAATCCAGTCAGAAGAAAGACAAGTCTCATTACGCGAGCGCCAAACAACTCGCGGACGCGAGTTCGAAGCACCGCGACCACGGTCACGAGCATTACACGAAGGAAATTAATTACGTATCGTCGAAAATGCTGCAGGAAAACGCGCGACACGAGAACTATCAGCGACAAATGGACAACGCGCATCGCAATTCGGATCACGTTACGACGAATTATGTCAAGCTACAGAAAGAGCGTTACGAGATCAAGCAGGAGAATCTGTACGCGTCTCAGAGAGAACTTCACAAGAACGACGCTCAACATCACGGAAGTGGTCATCAGAAACTGAACGCATCGAATTCACTGCCATTGGCGCACAACGCCGTTTACAGTCTGCCAAAGTCGGGTAGCAATAACAATCTCGGTAGGTACAACGAATACGAGCAGTGCGGCGGTAAATACGATTACGAGACGCCTACGAAACCGGACAGAAGTTCCAAATACGAACTGCAAGAGGAGAAAATGATGGAACGACTGTCGGCCAAGTACGAACACGATGCGCGTAATCATTCCGCGAAGAGGATCGGCTACGATTATTCGGAGGACATTTACGAAAGAAGAAATAGCAAGTACGATATAGAATTGGTTAAGTACGATATGGAGTGCCAGCACGTTAGCAACGAGAGAAAACGCAGCAACGACAGCAACTGCGAGCACAATCGGGAATCCATTAAATACGAGATACCGCACGATTTCAAAGTGGGCGAGAAGGTCACCTGTTTGAAAACCAGTATATCGGAGCGACCTGTGCCGCACAAGGTAAGCGTCGAGTATCGACAGACGAAGGACTTTCCGGCGAGTTTGCCACCGGAAGTGCGGATCGCGGACCTCAATTGTCCCGAAGTGACAGGTCTACCCAGCGAGGACGAACTGTCGAACGGATCCGGCAGCGTGTCACCCAGACTACGACGGGCCAACAAGCATCGCGGTGGAAATCGCACTCCTTCCAGCGGCGGTTCCAGGAATCAAAGTCCTAGACCGAAGCCGGGAATGAGGAATTCCCATCGAAACTCTGCGAATCTGACGTCCAGCACGTTGCAGGAGGATCTTATGAGACTGATTAATCCCGACTACATTTCCGACGACAATCATATCGTCAATAACAATCTCGTGAACAGCGTGATGAATCCCAATCAAAATTCGAACAAGATAAACAACAATATGCTGGAGATTCAGAACAGATGCCGATCTAGAGAGAACCTGTGCGGCAATAGCGCATCAACTTTAAGCGTTTTACCGTCAAACGGACAAGAAAACGGCAATAACGGCTCGGAAGTGATCTTAACGATGGCCAGACCTGCCACAGTGATCTCCAATGCCAGCACTGCCTCGAGTCCAGCGCCGAGCGAGAATAAGTTATCAAAAGAAGAAAGGTATGTAAAAAAAAAAAAAAAAAATATCAAAGATAATTTAATATAATAATAAATTTATTTAAAATTTATCTCATTTATTTTTTATTTAGATTATCTCCACGAGTTACAAAACCGCTTCATTCGATCTCAAAACCGCACAGCAATTTAACGCCAATCAAAGACACGAAGAATCACAACGACTCGATTGTGGATTGTTGGAAGAATCAACTTTCAGATCCCAATAGATCGACGAAGCAACATCCTCAAGAATGGCCCGACGACAGACTCATTGACGGGTGCAACGCAAACGCGTAAGTATTCCACGTGATCAAGCTGTGTAACGATACACAAATGATAAACAACTCGATGAGCTCTGTGAACGTTTGAATTATTTTCTTTGCAGGAATTCCGTTTCGGACTTGCAGTCACATTTATCCACTCTCGAGTTGAGAATGGAGAGAGAGAAACTCTTGCGACTCTCATTGGAGGACGAGGTGCGGCGTCTGCGCGACGAGAATCGACGTTTGCAGGAGTTCGAGAACCTGCGGCTCTCCTTGGAGGACGAGAATCGTCGTCTGAAGGACGAGAATCACGCAGCCGCGCAGCAACTACGACGTTTCACGGAATGGTTCCAGCAAACAATGGATCGTCAGTAATCCGATGTACTGACACACGAAGCATATAAAAAAAATAATATAAATTTTTTTTTTTAAGTATATTTTATCACACCTAGTAATGGCATCGAACGTTGAATCATCAGGAGAGAGAGACGCGGTAATTCAGTAAATTTATATATATTTAAAAAACATAATTATTAATTATTAAAATATAATTATTAATAATTATTTTTGACTCAATCGTTGTATTGTTTTTGCATTTACTTTATCCGCGTTCTCTTTTTTTTCTTTCTTTTTTTTATTTTTGCTCGATTCGGAGTATATGATCTTTGTAGGTATTACAGTATTAACGCGACTTTGGCTTGATTAAATAAATAAATATATATACATATATATATATATAAAGATATTACACGTTAGATCGCGATCGAAAACAGTTGTCGCAAGGGATTTGATCCGTGAGTAGAATAACAAAAAAGTATTTCATTCGCAATTTTGTTTGGCGATCTTCTTGTATCATATAATATTAACATATTATTCGCGTTAGTTTATATATATATATTCCGATTATAAAGTATAAGTTACCATCGTACGTACGTATCTTTCGTTTCTCCTCCGTTCGAGGACTCGATGTGTTGATCAGCAAAAACTGTTTAGATTAGCTTGAAACATTTTTGTTTGTTGTTTTTTTTTTTTTTTTTTATTTTCTTTTTAAGAAAAACAATCATCTCTGTGTATTAAAACTAGATGTTTAATTTTACAAAAGAGACCAAATGACCAAATATTACTAGAACTGAGAGAACTACTTTAAATTCTGTAATTTATTACGCCCTTTTACATTAATTGTTTACTACTAGCGTTACTAAGACGAGAGCGTCGCTAGGACGCTTTCTATCCCTCCCCCCCCTTTCCGTGTTTGAATTTCTCCTTTGTAATAAACATAACACACACAATTCAAGAGAGATATCTCAGCTACACACGATGTAACGAAGGTGACATTTACTGAGCAGTATAAACCGATTTAATAAAAAGAAAATGTATACTTTAAAAAACATTTTTGTATTTAAAAAAAAAAAAAAAAGAACATTAAATATATATATATATATATATGTAATTTAATTTTTTTTTAGTTTTTGCGTTTTATAAATTATACTGTATGTTGTTATTATTAGGTGTATGTGTGTGTGTGAGAGGAGTTAGATAGGGATCAAAATGAATTGTTTTATCACAACGGAATAGAATAAAATAGTTTATTGTAATCCACAGAAAAAAAACCAAGACATTTCTATGATGCCTTAAGATCTGTCTGTCTCACTGTTTCTGTCACAGTTTAACAATTAGCTGCAGTTTACACTCTCTTCTCTTGTTTTCGAGAAGAACGTTCGCTCGCTCGCTCGTTCGCCGCCATTGTCGTGCGATATCGGTCGCGGAGCGATACATATCCTCGATACTCGATAGCCGTATTACGAAGGATCGGATTGTGCGCGTATACTCTAATAGTTACAAAGCAGCTACGACTCGCTGCCGCGCAATATCGCGAATTCAGCGGATTTACTCTCTCTCTCTCTAGTTGTTGCCGTCAATGGTTGCGTTGCAACGCAACGCCTCTCTTCTCTCGCACACCAATGCAGAGAACAGAGAACAGAGACTTTGGTCTCTCTTTTTTCTCTCGTTCTCCTTTTCTCTCTCTCTCTCTCTCTCTCTCTCTTTCTCTCTCTTTTTTGTTATTTTACGATGCCCATAAATCCGAACGATCGATTTCGGTCGACGCAATTGTCGTTTTATCGGTGTAATCAGAGACATAATCAGAGACAAGCAAAATATTTACTCCGTACTCCACTTGCGAGCGTCATGTTTTACTTCCCAATATCTCACGTTCTATTATTTATTTTTATACGCGTTAGTCAAATGTGTGTGTGTGTGTGTGTGTGTGTGTGTGTGCGTGCGTCTGTGTGTTTATTTAGTTCGTTTTCCTAATCTCTATGATCTATGATACATTGAGACATCCAGTGGATCGCGTTACCGCGCCTTTTTTTTTCGAGAGGAAAGTGATATTAATGCGAGAGAGAGACGAATATTTTGACTTGTTTAATAATAATAAATCGAAAAACACTGTGAAGTAATATCTCACACAGCTCCGCGCGTGTAATTATACGCTCGACGTTCACCTTGAGAGAACATCTTCCAGGTCGGTCTTATTTATTTATTTATTCTTTTTTTTTGTTTTTTGTTTTTGTTCGTTTAAGTACATCAGAAGTTTATAGCGAGTGTAATTATTCATAGACGTAAATGTTTTAAGCATTAAGTTTTTTTTTTTTTTTTACTCTCTAGTAGCGTTTCTCTACGTTATCTCTAATTAACGCGCCTCATCCGTACGCGCGCGCGTAATCTCACCACGCGAAAAACACGCCTCCCTCCGTTTACGGAAGTTTTTCTCTCTCGTTCTCGTCGCTCGACATACATCAAAGAAATCTCTCAAAGACGTGTGTGGCGAGCTCTTAGTCGCTTTTTAACGACGACCGATTGAGTCGCCGAGTGAAAAGACATGCAAATTTCCGCGCTCGCGACGCAGACGTCAATTATGAAATTCAAACTTAATAACGAGAGGATTCTAACAAGTCATTCGTTGTGTTGCAAGAGCTTCCTCATTGCGGCGGAAAACACGTCGTCGCGTCGTCCATCTGTAGTCGTGTACTGACACTAATGAAGCGCGATATTATGAGCAAAAACTAGGAGGAAACTTCGTTCGTTTTTCGGAACGGGAACGCGTCTTTGAGAATTTTAATTCGACCGTGTTTGTTCGCACCGTGCGCGTTTTGTTGCAACAAAACGCGCACGGAAGAAAAACCACCTTCTGTATGTTCGGACGCGCGCACAAGAGTTCGTAGTGTCATTATTCTTACGCACTAAAAAAGCGATGTACGCGATGGGGTTTATATTAAAACATTTTTATTTCCGTTTTTTTATTAAAAACGTCTCTACACGCTACTCGCGTTTCGAGATAATAAGTTTCAGCATTGAACGCGTTTTGGCGTGAGTATGCGACAGTATGTACGTAGGTATATGTCCGACAAAAACAAGCGGAATGAGTTGCGCGAGATATAACGAAAAAGAAAAAAAAAAAAAAGAAATAAAAAAACCAGGTTAATCGATTCTGCAAAGCGCGCGTAAACTAACGACGCAGAGCGAAAACACGCGTCGTCGCACGAACTTCGAGAGAGTCATGCACCGTTCAGCAGGCAGATTTTATGGCACATAAAAGAAAAAGATATATCCCGATAATTGAGAACGAATCGAGAGCAGCGATTCTTTCTGCATCGCGGAAAGAAAAGTTGACACTTTGCGTGATCGTCAGATCCAACTTTCGTCAACTGTAATAAAAAGTGAGATTGTTTTTTTTTTTTTGTAAAAAAGCGGACTTAAACAATATCGAGACGTTTTTTTTTAACAAATTCTAAAATAGATGTCACACTCGTAGAACAGTTCGCTCGTAGATCTATGCGCATATTTCCGTGTTTTTTTTTTTTTTTTTTTTTTTATACGTGTATATAGTATATATATATGTATTCCGCAAATTAACGTAAACATCGATTCAACTTTTCACGATTATTATGTATAAAAAGAAAAGAGAAACAAAAGAGAAAAGCGTATTACTTTCTATATATATATATATATATATATGACAGTAAGATGGAAGTAAGAGGGCACAGCGTGTCAGAAAGACGGAGATTGTTTTTTTTTTTTTTTTAATTCACTATGTTTTCTACAAGGTGTCCCATCTTCAAAGCACCGAATTTCAAAAATCGAATTATTCGAGAAAAATGTGAATCGATCTTTTTCCCGCAATGTTTTTGCGGTTTATTTCCAGAAGTTTGGAAAATCATTAAAGTAATAAACAACACAGATGTGAATTTTTGAGAAACTGAAAAATTTCACATTGCTCTTAATTGTTTTTTTTTTTCCGTAGACACAAGTTTTAAAACAGTGCGTGTTCTTTCGAATGTGTCACATTGTCGTTTAAAAAAAACAAAAAACAAGATTATAATAAACTATAATATTCGTCGTATAAAAAAGTAAGATAAAGTAAAGAAACAATATAAAAAAATACATCTTGTCACAAATACATCTCATTACAAAAATAGTCAATCTTCGCGAAAAAAAAGAGTCTAAAACAAGGACGTAGTAATAAAAACAAAAAAAAAAAAAAAAAATAGTCGTAAAAAAATAAAATTAAAGATTACGTCACTAAATTGAGTCTCGATGATAATGAAACACCTTGTAAACAGATTTCGCAATTCCGGGCAATCGTTTACGAACGAAGGAGAGAAGACGTGACTGGCAAAAAAAAAAAAAAAAGACGCTATATAAATCTTGCGTCTTCTACACGGATCTCTCGGGTTTTCAGTCACTGTCACATTTTTCGATTTCTCTTGCGAGGTAAGTTCGCCAGTTTTCGTTTCATTCGCACGCAAAAACGAAAAAAAAAAAAAACAAATTATTCCTCGTGCAATCGATGATCGCACACGCACACTCCCGGATGTTTACCCCGATAAAATACGGACAAATACAATATAAAGTATATATGTATATATATAAATATACATATATACATATTTCGTTTTTTTTTTTTTCACATAAGACGAGATCGCCGATCACGTCGCGGTCGCCGTCGAGAGTTCGTCTCTCAGCGAATACTCTACATCCTGATCATCTTTTTTTTTTTTTGTTTTTTCCCCTACGCTCGCAAAAACATTACCGATAAAATACACACGTTGTTGTGGAGGGCGCGTCCTCCGTTAAAATACAAAAATACTGTTCTGATGTAACCACACATCTTCACCTACTATTTCTACCATTAAGCACATTATAATTATGCACATCATTAATTATGCATACATTATAACTTTGCACGCTATAATCCCTGTAGTCTTTTCTTTTGTTTTTTTTTTTTTTTTTTTTTTTTTTTTTTTTTTTTTTTTTTTTTAACGCTCGCGGATAACGTTCGTTCAACGTTATCGTGGACGAGGAAAGAATACTGAGTATACATGTATGTATACAATGTATGTATATTTGTTTGATGAGAGAAAAGAATCGAATTCAGAAATACCCTAGAATTTCTTTCGCGATGTCGCGATGTCGACTCTCGGAAGAGGTCTTGTTTCTTCTGAAAAGCGTTCGTAACGCGCGGCGCAATCGCTGCTATCTCGCGCAATTTCTTTCGTTTCCGTGAGTTGATTGCACCAACGTCGGTTGCAGCTACTAAATATTCAAATTTCGTCATCAGTGTCAATTACAAGTTGAAATAGTGCACAAGTTGCGTCTGTAAAACGATGATATCAAAAAATGTGCCGCTCGCGGTGATACGCTTTTGTTTTTTTTTTGTTTTGCGTATTCCTCTCGGTTTTGAATTTTTATCTGTTCTTCCGCGAAGAAATCGAATCGCTGTTCGAACGTAGATAGTAGTCGAACCAAACCGCGGTTGATGCAATTCAGTGCGGACGACGTCGAAGACGCTAGAAAGACGCGATTCATGTAAAAAACAAAAAAAAAGAAAAAAAATACATACCTTTAAAAACAAAAATACGACGTACAAACGCAATCGTTCTGCGGAATCTTGCGTGAATTTTGGTACGCGCACGCCACAGGCGACGGACTGTCATTACAATACAATCTGGCATTCCATGTACCTTGACATAGTTAACACTACGATCGTTTAGTTTTTATAGAGATACGGCACGGCATACATCGAAAGGGCAAATTCAGCTGATAATCAAAAAATTTCTCTCTTCTCAGATATTCTCAATCTTCTACTTTCGGAAATCGTTTCGTTTGCGTCTTGCGGCGCGTCGAGTCGGGGCAAAAATCAATATTTTGAAAAAACACAAAATATAAATTTATTCTGCAAGAATTTATTACTCTTCATTCTCAACATACATATTGATAAATGTTATTCAAAAGGTCGCCTAAATGACACGATAAAAAAAAAAAATACACACAAAAGCGAGAGATTAAAAAACAAAGTTTTTTCTGCAAGAATTTATTACTCTTCATTCTCAACATACATATTGATAAATGTTATTCAAAAGGTCGCCTAAATGACACGATAAAAAAAAAAAATACACACAAAAGCGAGAGATTAAAAAACAAAGTTTTTTCTCTGAGTATCTATATCAGATAAAATCGCCTTTTCACTGTATGACTCTTTCACGCCGTTTGTTATTACCACAACTACGGTTATTAAATTGTATAATTATATATTTGTATAATTATATATATACTTTTTTGTTTTATATATATATATATATCATATAAATAGTATATTCAGCATCACAGTAAGGATAGCGCCCTTCATTATTAAGTTATCGTCGATCAGCTCGGACCGCGCGTTTTTTTTTTTTTATTTTTTTATTTTTTTTATATTCTCATTCCTGTGTCAACAACGTATTCTACAACAATCCGCTTAAACATCATCAAAGAGCCTCGGTCGCGTTCGTCGGACGCGACCGAGTTTGTTTTTACGTACTATGGATATACGCGGGCGACGGGATGTGTGTCTCCGTCGCTCGCGAAAAATCTTGAGGCAAACGGGAGATTATTTAAGTTTACAAAAAAAAATAAAATAAACAAACAAATCGTGTGTGAACCTTACAGAGACAGGTATCGCAACCTGATCGAAAGCGATTAACAGCCGAAAAAGCATGGATTGTATATATAGTTTATATTTTTTTTTTTTTACGCGTGCATCGACGATTAACCGAATATGATGATTACAAATGCGTCCGGGAAGGATCGCCGCGTTTTTTTTTTGTTTTTTTTTGTTTTTTTTTACGAGTTAAAAAAAAAACTTATCGAGAGAACGACGAGTAAACGAATGTTTAAAAGCACGCGAATGAAAACAGACTTTTCGTCATCGGATAAGTCGAATGCGTGCCTTACACATACACTGGAGAAGGAAGATAAAATTTATGCATGGCTTGATTGCTATCTCGAAACGACAACGTGCGACTTGTAATCGCGTGCGTTTTTCTTCCTTTTTTTTTGTTTTTTTTTTTTGTTTTTACCGCGACAAATACATTATCGGTGTATAGTTCAGATTCAGGGATCAAACATGACGAACCGTCTAAAAAAACGCTCATCATTTCTCGTTTTTCTATCGGCAAACAGTAGAATAGAAGTCTTGTGTGTATATATATATACGAATAGACTCTCATACAATTATTCTGAAAAATAAATAATTATAAAAATAAGCGAGAATTTTTTTTGTTTTTACGCTTAAATATATATACCTTAAGATAAAAAACTTAATTAGTTTGCACCACATGCGGAGAGTGGAATGTGTTTCTTTTTCTTTACTAGACACAAGCGCGTCGCGCGTATAATTCTAACAGAAGTTGATCAACTACAAAATTGTAAAAAACATTAACGGCAACTTGTCAATCGTAATTATATCAATTATACATATAGTGCGATATATAGTTTCAAGTAGAAAAAAACCATGATTCAATAAATAAGAGTGCAACAAGAGAGATTACAAAGAGAGATTACGGTATATAAAAATCGTGACGACGATTGTCTCTCGTCAAGCAAAAAAAAATTATATGTATAATTTTGTAGAATAAATAACTCTATATGCTCGAAAAAAAATGATCGTAGAGACAGATTAGGTACACAATATTCGATTCATTTTTTTTTTGTTTTTTTTTTTTTATATATATATATACCCTTTTCCCCCCCATATGCCACGCAGGTCACAGCTTTCTACGCACTGTGGAAGAAGTCAAGAGATATATTTATTATAATATTTACACGCACAAAATACTCGAATCGAGACGTAACAGGAGCACGAGATTTCTACTCATTAACTTAAAAGAGGGGAAAACTCTTTTTTGTACTTTTCTACCAAAATTTTTTTTATCTCCATATCTACTTTTATACTCTATATATATGTATTATATTATATATATATATATCTCTAACGGCAATATATCCCCGACGGTAACGTAAAACGTTTGCGTCTCGCAAGAACTCGCGGCGACGTTTTTGCGAAACGCGAGAGAGGAGCACCGTGGAGGGTTTAAAATTCAAATCAAGAACGGCACGAAAATTCTTATCACGACACTTTCGGGGAGTCAAAATTTTGGGATAAGTCCAACCAAGGGGCATAGTACATATCCGCGTCCCGGCTAAACCAGCGGGGAAACACCGAGAGTGAGGAGAGGTCGGTAAAATCTTTTTTTTTTTTTTTTTAATGACTGCTTTCACGCGGATCATATACTCGCGCCGGGTAATCGACCGGTCGTATCGCATCCGCTTCGGGATCTCACCGAGCGAATAGTTTAATACCGCGAAGTGGTGTGTGGCACTTTCAATACTTCACTATACCGAAACGTCGGTCGAAAATCTTATATTATTCCCGGCGTGTTCTCTTGGGACGTTGGTTGGGACTAACTCCGACGTCGTCGCCGCCGCGTGGCCTTTTTCCAATCTGTACCTGGCTTTGCGCAGTGAGCTGCAACGAGATCGCTTGAGTGTTGAGCTTCTCCGCCAACAGCAGATCCTTGAGGCCCTTCATTTTCTGACTGTACAAAGTTATCCTCGATCTCTCGTTCTTGGTGTCGGGCACGATAGCCTCGGGCTCGACGGTCTTCTCCTGGGAAGTGGAAGGTGCCGGAGGTAGGGCGTCGTCCGATGGCGCGACGAACGGTTCACCGCCGCCCTGCAGCAGGTAATCCCGATTAAGTATCTTCTCGCTGCAAGCCGCCGTCAGGGCCTGAATGCTCGGATGCGTGGACGCCGAGTTGGCGGGCACCTTGGACTCCAAACTCTTGATCAGATCTCGCGCCGCGTTGCCCTTCTCCTTGGTCTTGCAGTAATTGTTGTTATTGTTGTTCAGCGTTTCCTCTGGGCTTGTTTCTCGTTTCACCTCGGTCTCTTCCTTCTGCTTGGTTTCAGTCTCGTAACATTCTATAACAACTTGCGCGCGTATACTGGCGTCGAATTTCGAGATCGTATTGACCAAAGGCTGGGCCCAGCCTATGTGCAGCACGGGAGTGTTCGCGCCTTCCTCCCACTGACAGATACCGTCGTAAAATCTCAACAGGTACGCGAAGCTTCGTGGTTGTCGCAACAGGCGTTCGTCGACGCGCACCGAGTGCGGTATCAGCTCGTTGGCGATTTCTTGCAGCTCCTTGTATATCTCACCGTCATCCCGTGAGTAATCATATCTATACATTACACACACCGATTTGCATTATTCATCGTAATATCGTAAAACGAATATCAATGAAGCATTTAACATATTTACAGTCACCGATTTGTTTCGCAATCACATTTCACAAGTTGGAAAGAGCAAATGTAAAAAAAAAAAAAAACACAAAAACAAACATGAAAACAAAATTTGTGAGTCACATACTTACTTTCGCAAAACGTCGGCAGCATCGGCCCATGAGGCAAACGCGTCGACATGCAATCCGTGCCGATACAGATATCCTCCCAAATAAGTATAAGGATAGACATGCGCGTTACCGTAATACCTCCTCGCCGACCTTATAGCTTCCTACACACACATATATTCAGAAATAAATTTCAGACTCAAAATAAGATTTCAGAATAAATAAGAACGTCACAATATATATCGCTACATTATATTTGAAAATGACAAACCCGAAAGATATCTATAGGCGGCGGTCTTCCGGGTGTAGGTGCAGCCTCTTCCAACTCGGCCAGATTACCCAGCGCCATGGGATACCTGGCGAGATGGCCCAAGTCATAAAGCAGCCACAATAATTCCTGCTGAAGCATTGCTACTTCAGCGGCGTCGGTGTTCTGGTTCAGACTAGGATTTATGGCGGACACTATGGTAGCCACTTCCAAAGCACGAGTGCACACCATCGCTTGACCGTTCAGATACAACCAAGATCGAGACGCAATACCAGATTCAACCGATTGTCCACGCTTGTCCCCATTTCCCTTACCTGAAGAAATTGCGTGAAGAAATTACAGTTGTGTATCTTTCGTTTAAACATCAAAAAGAGACATCTACTAAAGAAATATCTTGTATACAAAAGATTCTGAAGCAGAATAACATACCGTGCCATGTAACTTCAGCTGTCTCGGTGCCGTCCTCGCCATACACAACCCATGCGTGATCCTCCGACATGACAAGATGCACATCCTTGAATCCCAACACTTGACACCCAGCTACAACGGCAAAGGCAACCCCGTAGCAATCCAGCTTGTTCGCTGTCAGGTAACTGTAGAGGGTCTGGAGGTGCGCGCGATCCTTGTAATAGCTGCTGGTGAGCGAGTTCCATATAACGTCCGAAACCTTCTTCACCAGGTCACGAGTTGCGTACTTGGTATCGTAGACGGTTAGATCGACGGCGCCTTTGACGACCGCGTGGAATTTGGTGTAAAGCGCTTCCGCGATATGGTACTCAACTGCCGGTAGTTTCGGCTCGTCGTAAACGGCGTTCTCCGGCGGGGTGAAACCGTGATTGCACGTGAGCGAATTCTCGACGGCACCGGCGAGAATCGAGAGCAGCGCGAGGTCCGGCTCGGCGTTGTTCTCCAGTTGGTTCTTAAAAATCTGCACAATCGCCGATATACTTTGAACAGGGAATAGGGCCCTGTCCCTGTCACGAAAGCCCGCCATGTCGTGATAAAAAGAAGCCCGCCGAACCTGGAAAAAGGTTGGACAAGCACCACCGTGCGCCACCGTACGCACGCGACAATCGGCGCGACGACTTGCAGCTGCCGCCGCGATGATTATGACGCCCGAACTAAGTCTGCCATCACGCCGTGCGGTTTCGGCGAACGACTCTTGACAGAAACCGTGCGCGAATACGCAACGGACGGCCACGTCGGGCCTGCTGACTCGTCGGGCAACACGCGCGCGCGCTTATTCCGTTTCCGTGGTTTAGGCGAACGTCGTTCCGGGACCACTCACATCTCCGCACGACAAAAGCCGCGGCAGAACGACCGCTTTACTCTCTCCTTCCCTGCTGCTATAGCTTTCTCGCTGCGCTGCTGCTATGTTATGCCGTCCAGCGGCGTCGCGCTCCTTCGCGCTTCTCCGCGCTTCTAGAAGGACCGTTTCCATCCGACCGCCGCGGTCGCGTTTCGCGCCACGCCACGGTCGGGGATAGAAACGCAGGTGATGTGTTCCGCGATGTGTGTGCGATTTTTTTTTTTTTCTTTTTTTTTTCTTTTCGACGCAATAAGACGCAACGGAAGGGCGCGCGAAGCCCGATCGCATAATCCTGTGTCCTCTCTCTCTCTCTCTGTCTCTTCTCTTCTTCCTCTTTCTTCTCTTTTTTTTTTTTTCGGAAATAATGGATACGTAACGGGAGATAAATTTACTGCGTCGCACACGCGCTCCGCTCTCGAGATGCGTCAAATTTTATTTATTTTCACTGCAACGTAGAAAAAACAAAATTTCGGTTTAAAATGTTTTTTTGAAACAAAAAGAAAACCCGCGCTCTCTTTATTTATTTTTTTTTAGACAAGTTCAAAAAAAAAAGTATTCCAGTTGCGTATCACCGGCGTGATACGTTCTCGTTCGACGTTTTTTTTTTTTTTCTCATTCGTGCTTTTGTGTCGCCAAGTTTTTGCGTCTTTTGTATATTCGCTCAGGCTTAGGGTTCGAGAGCTCGAGTAAAACCATACATACTGTTGTTAGCTGTTGCATGTGTAAACAAATATTCAGCGGATTTATATGAAAAATTCAGAATGCGTTTCTCATTGGCGATCAACGTGTGTGTGACGCGAGAAACGATACGTCGACATTTAAAATCGGGACTTCGTCGCGAAAAGATATCTTTTTTTTTTTTTGCCGAGCAAAGTTATCACACGTAACCGCATACGTGTTCGAAATTTCAAGATGGCGCGGGTCTCTCTGTTAGAGTTATTTCGTGCTTTTCTCTATCGGCGCCGCCAGAGAGACTGTCCCTCTACATAAGAACGTATCGTTCAAATGAGCTATTTTCTCTATCATTTCGCGTTTATTAACAGAGAGACAGCGAGGAGAGAAGTCGGAGCAATCGTCGCGATCTCTCGTATATCGTCAACGTATCATCAAAGGCCTGTTCTAACAACAAAGTCGCGCAAGCCGCTGTCGGACGTCGGGCGCAAGTACGTTGAGCTGATCACTCGACTTAATCGACGACAGCTCTCGACAACAACACGAGTCAGACCTAGTCAGACTCGATACGCTTGCGCCCCCCCCCCCCCCCAACACAGCGACTTATCGTAGAACAGACCCGAAGCAACGTCGTTCTCCAATCGCAGGATGAAAGTAACAATTAAAAGTAAGTAGTTCAGGAGATCTTTATTGTGTTTACAACGTTACTGTTTACTTACTTCAATCGCAATCGCGCAATGTGCCGAATATTTTGCGCAACAATGTCATATAAACATGGTTATGTTGGCGGCTACAGTGTGTGCGTATTCGCGTTGTCTCGTTGTCGGCCATGAAGTAATTCGCGTTGTGTGACTAACGCGCGTTTCTTCTTTTCCGTCCAGGTTGGACGGGAGTCGCCACCTGGCGGTGGATAGCCAATGATGATAATTGCGGCATATGCAGAATGCCGTTCGACGCTAGTTGCCCGGATTGCAAGGTTCCCGGAGACGACTGTCCGCTAGGTAATATGAATTTTTATTTATTTATTTATTGTTACACGCGGGGGATAGGATATCCACCACGTTACGAGATCAAATCAAATCAATCGAACTCGCAAGAGCAAGTGTTGCATTATCGTTTGCACTCGGTTCTATATATACAAATATTTGTTTAAATATTTTGCATCTTAAAAGCTGTTTCGGTCGAGGAAATTTTATAATTTGTGAAATATTCATTTCCGCGGTCTTGCGAAATTCGATGTTTTACTCATGAGTATTATATCGCGCAAATGTGGGGAAAAAAATCCACCGGACGCGAGAAGAAAAGATCGGAGAGAATCTCTCTCTCTCTCTTTGCGAGAGAAAATTTTTCGTAAAATGCCGCCACGGCGGAGACGCGCGTCGCGACGGCGCGCGATATCGATCGACGCGTGCCGGCTGCCGGCAGATAAACGTGGTTGGCAGGCGCTCCGTGACCGCCTCTTCTACCTCACCCTTGGTTCTGTGCGTCCCCTTTTTGTGTATCGATGTGCGTGTACCCCCGCGGCAAACGCACCGTTCATACATCCGTCCGTCTGTCCATCCATCGCTACCCTAAGCCAGGTGCGCGTCCCCATGCGTTCTCATCCGCCGGTTTTTTTCCCCGTCAACGCCAACGCGAACGAAATTAATTTAACGTGCCGACCGATGTCGTTTTTCAGTGTGGGGGCAGTGCTCACACTGTTTCCACATACACTGCATTATGAAGTGGCTGCACTCGCAGCAAACGAGTCACATCTGCCCGATGTGTCGCCAAGAGTGGAAATTCAAGGAATAACCACCGACGCTTTCCGCACGGGCCCGCAGGTGTCAGCACGCAGCGAGTGATCAGGTAATAATATTGTAATGCACCTATGTGTCTCTCTCTCTCTCTCTCTCTCTCCGTTCTTCGGATCAGCTTGCTCTGTTCCGCTTCGAAAAAAAAAAGATCTTCAATTGCACCGTTTATTTTAGGGATAACGTCACTCTTCGATTTTATGTAGAAAAAAAAAAAAAAACAACATCAACAAATTGCGCACAGTGCTATGCGAAACATGGGATTCACACGTTGTAAGCCCCCGGCCCCTCGATGCTAAACCGATTCTAAATCTGCTAATGAAAAGCCGCTAAGACGATTAAGCGACCGCAAATGACAACAAAGTGCTTCACGCAAAGCGTTATCGCGTACTCGCGACGTGTGTTCTTCAAATCAACTCTCGTCGACACACATTTTCGTCGTTTGGACGCGTTACCGTTTTCACCGTGCGACGTTTTGCACGAATTAATACTAAAAAACAAAAAAAAAACTCCCATGCGACACATTTCACATATTATCTATAAACGACGAGCCGCGTTATTCTAAATTTAGAACGTTATCCAGAACATAGAGTGTGTTCATCCGTTGATTAACTTCTGCCTGACACACGGCAACCCGATGTGCAGTCTCGCTTACTTCGGTGCCAGCTTCTTTATAAGTTATTATTATTGTTTTTTCTTTGCTTAATTTTTTTCTCGCGTAAAATTTATTTCTATGACATTTGTAACGCATGTATGATGTATTTATGCTGAATATACAAGACGTATGTAACTTAAAATCTCTTTCGCAAGTTATGTAATTGTAAAACAATATATATTTGTAAATGAATTATAGTTAGTAAGTGTAATTTCAACACATTTCGTTTTCTTCCGTGTGTGTGTGTGCTGTATCTCGAATTCTGGACAATAGAAATATACTCGCGCTTATCCGCGTGCTCCGATCGGTTTTCTCTCTCTCTTTCTCTCATTTGCGCTCTATAGGTGACGCATTGGCTCGCTGAATTATTAATAAGACGTTGTATTCAACGATACGCGCTGTCAGCGTCTCGCGTGTACGTTTCGCGTGTTCGAGAATGTAACGTAATAGTCGCGCGCAGCATAATCATTCCTCCGACAGCGAAGTCGGCGGGTCCCACCGCTCGTCGTTTCGGAGAGCGAACCTTTGTTTTTCTTTTGTTTTTTTTTTTTTTCGCTTTAATCGCGGGAAACGCGGCATAATGCGTGCGAGGAAGCACGCCGGCGTTTTTGTTTTTGTTTTTGTTTTTTTTTTTCAATGAAATGCGCAAAAACACTGAATTGTCACGAGCGAGCGAAGAAGATCAGACACAGACGTGTTGCGCCATTTTTAACGTGCCGATTTAATTTCCACTTCAATTTTGCGAGTCAATTTAACGTGTTTTACGCTGCGAGCGCGGAAACTGAATTATTCATTATTGCGAGAAAAATTGCTTAGGCATATCGACTGCGCTGTGTATGTGTGTATATGTGCGCACTCCTCCGTTCGATACGATTGGATGAGAAAACGAGTGGTCAGAGTGCGAAGTACGGAAACACGGCCATGTTCGCAAAACGAGATGCGTTTGTTTTGCATTTCGATATTGCGAGAGCGAGATAAAAAATTGTAAAAAATAAAAGAAAGAGAGAAAAATACAAACCGAGGCGATAAACAACAAATAAGTAAAACAAAAGACAATTTTGAATCATGCAAAAATCGATACGTAAATATATGTTTGCTCGAAATTGATCTTTATTTAAAAAATTGTAAATTTTATAAGAGAAAAATAAAATAAAAATTTAATTTATAGTTGAGATGCGCAAATTCAATGCATCTCTCTCTCTCTCTTGGATGATTTTTCGAATTGAAATCAATTCGATTTTTCACGTGTATCAATTTGCACGTTTTAAAATTACGATTCGCACCGTCCAGCATATTGATTCATATCGTAAATACTATCTGGTGTAAAAAACGTTTTTGTTATTTGCTACCTCGGCATCTGGTCTAGAAGTAACAGATGCCACAAATTATGGCTTTACATGTTTAAAATTCATAAAGATAATTTTTTTTTATTGCCTGCATTAATTGCCTGCGACACTGCGTGCAAACTAGTTTCTCTTTTGACATTGACATTCAGGATTTACGATCGCGCAAATTTTTTTTTTTTCAATAATAATAACCCGGTAATAAGTAATCGAATTTGTTCTTGTTTTTCGTATATACATATATAGGTAGCGTTTCACACAGGTTGAACACAGAAACGTCGACCGAGCGAGAAAACGTACTCGCGATACGATTTTGACCGGTCTAGGGGAACCGGCCGGACCCCGTCGTCGCCGCCGCCAAGCGAGGCGCCGATTTGCATTTTATCGGCGGGAGATCGGCCACAAAAGTGGAACGAGTCGTTTTTGTCCGACACGAAGAGCCAGGGCGAAACAGAGTGTGAATAAATTCCGGGCCCGCGTTTTACCGGGTGGCTTGGCCGGCGTGCCACTTTGTGCGGTTTAATTGCGCGCCGTGAAAATGGGCGGGGGGCGATAGCGCGGCCCGATAACGCGTATCATTGCGACGGTATCATCTCGCGCGCATTACATATATATATATATACCGGAGGCCTTAATCTGCACGATCTTTGCTCTCCGTTGTCGACGACGTGTGTTTACAGACGCGAGAAGTGCGCGGCACAGAGCTGCGATTATATAAACGTGAAAAAACAAAAAAAAACTCGAATCTTCCGAACGAATCGCGCGGCAGAATGTGAGCGTAGAAAATCGCACGTTGCCTTCGTCGTCGTTTGGTCAACTGATTGAATTTGAAAAAAAAAAAACTCATAAATTGTATGTTACACTAAAATGTATGTATGTAAAAAAAACGCGTTCTGTCATAAATCAAAGAAAACAACTTCAAACTGAAATTAGCTTTTCACACGAAACGCACTTTTTTTTTTTTTTTTGTAATGGAGTCTCTAATACATCGAATCACGTAATTAAATCGGGTGTGTAACGAGCGATAAACCGAGCGGCAATAAACGGAGTCGTTAAAAGCAACGTCGGCCTCTCTCTATCGGCGGATATTAATTTATCGCTGAAACGCGATAAGATTTTTTTATTTCGCACAAAATGAAAGCCAGAAAACAAAAGGAAACGAAAGAAGGAATCGGTTCTCGTTGAACGCGCAAAGATAACTCATTAAAATTATTTGAATTATCGCGAAGAATAATTTATCACATTCCTCGAATTCTTTTGTTTTTTTTTATTTCTGCGACGATCTCCGCGCGATCAAAGAGAGACGAGGAAATAAGAGTTAAGAAGAGTTAGAAAACGTGTCGCTACGGCCCTGGAACGAACGGACCTCCACGTCATTAGGGCAGCTCCGTCGGGAGACGGAGGGGACTTCTAATGGGTCCCTTCCCTTTCTTTGTCTCGCTCCGTTCGACTCTTCCTCCGGACAGTTCTTCTCCTTCTTTCACCTTTCTTCGTCCCGTCCTCCGCTCTCTTACACGGGTTACTCTCTCACGCGAAACCACGGCGATACCGGTCGCGATGTACACCTACACCCAACGATGGAGATAGAGAGACGGATCTCCCCGGAGAGAGAAGACGCCGGAGTCTCGCCTACTCCGACTTCTAGTTCTAATGCTAATTCGTCGTGCCGATCATGACACGCCGAAAGGAATTTTGCCGTCTATATTTCTCTTCTGCTGGATTTCTCCGCAATTTTTGTTTGCGAAAAAATATTTTATCTTCTACTTGTTGTTTTGATAAAAACACAAATTTATATACGACGATGTAATTCGCAATTTATGTACAGAGAACGCTCTTTGACCCCGGGGTGGGACTCTGGAAAGTTTGTTTAAATTAAAGTAAATCGCCGCCTATCGCGCTAGCGTCGATGCGATTAATCCGAGTTAACGCGCTTGTGAGCAATTAATTGCTACACCTGCACCTGAATGTGACGAAAAGAAAAGAAACGACGTTGTACGTGGTATTATCTTGAAGCGTAACGGTGTGTTGATCTCGTAATTCTACCGAGTCACGGCGAAATCGGCTTACATAAACTTAGGCAATCCCGAGCAAATGTACTTAATTAAGGAGTCTCGCCATCTACTAATAATATCTCTCTTATAGCACGTAATTTATTTTTAATTCTTATATTTCTACGCAAATTCTCTCTCTCTTTCTCTTTCTCTCTCTAGGCGTTACGTCTAACTAAATGTTAATATCATAAAACTTGTGTAGTCGTAAAATAATCCGCAAAACGATTTTATAAGCACGTCGACTATATCGAAACTACAGGAACTGAATGTTTTTCTGTTATTTTTAGTTTTACTTTACCGCGCGAGATGCGACATTAAATCGTTGGAGCGATCGCGTCGTGAAACCCGGATCGTCATCTATGGAAAAACACCATCTCCAAGAAGAGTTCGAATGGCTTAACGGCGCTAGAAAGTGTGACCGCGACTTTCCGTAAAGTTTAGAGCGGCAAACCGCTTTTTCCACGCAGATCTCCCGATTTTACGTAATGTTCCGAGAGCGTTGCGCGTTTTTCCTATACCGGAGCAAGAACTCACACACACACACACACACACACATACACACATCACAATCTTGTAAGATCGTTACGAAGCTGTGTGTTTGAATTCTCCACACCGCCATCAACCGCAGGTTCTCGTTACCTCTATCTTCGCTCCCTCCTGGCTGCCTTCCATACGTACACACACACACACACACACACACACATGAGACTTTTACTGAATCGTATATACGTCGCATATATTCACACACTCGTTTACTTACTCGCTTCACCCACTCGCTTCACTCGCACACATTCGCTCGCTCGCGCGCACACAAAAGCAAGCCGAGCCGAACACGTTCATGACGACTACCTGACGAGAACTCGAGCTCGGCCAGTCACGTGGCTACCGATCGCGAAGGATGTTTGTGGGATCGCGAAGTCAGTCTGCGACGGTCGGTCCGTTGGGAAAGAGAGAATAGAAGCGCGCGATCGTGCAAAACAGAAAAGGAAGAAAAGAACAGAGGAAAGGAGGAGATACTGGGGATCGGGAATATACCGCCTCTTGAGGTCTTAGGATCGTCGCTGCTCTAGCTCCACACCACCGTTCGGTGGTGCGCGTCGTTTCGGATCGCAGATATTGTTCGCGGCGAGCGGGAAAAAAAACTTCCTCGTCAAGGATTTTGGGAGTGCCGCGGATTGGAGAGAGAGAGAGCTCGCTGATGGTGGAAAAAAACATGCGTCGGGAGGAAACGACGCGGAGCTTGTGTCGATCTGTTTGCGCGTAAGAAAGCGCGCGTGATTGTGCGCGTTCGGTTCATCGAAACGTGGATGCGCACACAATTGAATTTCGATCGCTAGCTCTACGTGTCGCGTATCATCCTCATGAAAAAAAAATCAGTGATCATGTGACGCTCGTGTGAGAGCCAGATCGCCGGAAGGATCGACGGAAAGAGTCCGTTTCCGCGCGCTTCTCCAAAAAGAAAGCACGAGAGCGATCGAGATAGAAAGGCGAGTTATATCGAGGCCGTAACACGGACCATCTCTGGAGAGCATCCTGAATGAAACTCGACGAGGATAAGGAGACAAATCCGAACGCCGCAAATGTCTTTCGAAGTCCGAGGACGATATACAATCTGATTTATATATTATTGACGAATCAAACAAACCAAAAACTTGGATTCCCGGATATAGCATTTTAAATGCGGAATTGCGTTAGCGCGATTTCGCAAGGAAATCGTTTGCGGTGTCGCGCGCAATAGAAGAGAATTTGAGGAAATTCGAAGAAGACGCCGCCGCGTCTCTCTCTCGGCGAACGAACGTTTCGTCGCGATTCTCACGGAATTGTATGCAAAATCGCATCGGCGATATCGCGCGCGGCATCGGCGTTGATCGCGACCCGCTTACGAATAAAGAGGACGAAGCGGACCCGAGGGGAGAAACGAAAGAGAAGAGAAGCGAAAGAGAAGGAAACGTGCAACGAATCGAGGGTATACGCGCGGCGGCGGCGGCGGCGGCAGCAAGATTGCAGTGATTTCGCTGGCGCAACACACGCTCTCTGTGCAAAAGCATGTGGCGACATTGCACAACATCGCCGTCATCCCTGATTGGCATTTAACGTGTGCGCTCGTTCATGCGTTCCAAAGTGAAAATTGTCGCGCGCACAGAACAAACTGTGTGCGAGTAAGTTTTTTTTTTTTTTTTCTCATCTTTACAACAAGTAGTTATCGGTTTTTTTTTTTTTCGATCTGCGATCGACTGACGCGATTCCATTCGCGGAATCTTTGCAAATATTGAATCAGACTTTTTTATTTCTTATTATAGCGGAATTCAAAAGAGCGAACGAAATTTTGCAAATGACAACAGAACGTTGTCTCGAGACGCGCGACACCACAGATTTGTCGAGCACACGAAAACGCTTTTTGCTCATCGAGGTGTTTTTACGACATTTCTCGCGTTCCATCGGAGCTACCCGGTTGGAGCCGCGCGCGCATTATAACGACGGCGATAACGACGGCGATAAACGCGTCGCTTATCTTGGGAAAAAATCTGTCGGAAAACGCATTCTTCGTAAGTTACTCGTGAAGTGAAACGCTCAAGCACAACTCGGCGTAGCGGATAAGACACTCGTGTGTGCGTTTTTTCTCAAATTGGAATGAATTCGAGAGATCTTAAATTGTGATATTAAAAGCAATATAATACGGGATATTTGTTGTTGCAAAACAGACTTTTGCCAGACTTTCTTTCGAATTCATTTTTTTCAAAGCGACGTTCCGTGCTCCCAAGTGCTGCGTGCTATTTTTTCACACCGTGCATCTCGTTTTGACGTCGTATATATATACATAGAAATGATGCAACGTTAGTGGAATGCGATTCCAACGTTGATCAGCAGGACGTTGAAATTTTTCACCGACAAATTTTTATTCTGAATTTGGTGCCGATCTCTATGCCGAGACTTTTCGCAGTCTGTCGCGTGTACGTTGTGCGTGTACGTACTTTCATGCGCATTAGCGTGTCGTCGCAATAATGAGCAGTTGTGCGATTTAAAAAAAAAAAAAAAAAAAATTGTACGGAATGCAGTTGGCCAGTCAGAGGCCTCACCCGCCTCCGGTGCCACCTCGGCCAAGCCGGCAGGTGGTTGCCGAGGCTCTTAAGAGGTCGCCAAGGCCGCCCTGTCCTACCAGACAAGCGCCGCCACCGCCGAACACGAAACCCTGGAGATCTGATCAAAATCAAGCACGACAAAAACAACAAACGCAACAACAGCAGAAACAACAACAAGTACAGCAGCAACTGGTGGGCCCAACAAGCGGACGAACGATTGTGTACGAATCGAAAGAATGTGGGAAGGACGGCAAGGAAGAGAACGCGCCCGATGACAACAGGAGTCAACAAGATCGCAAGCAAGACGCGACAGTCGAGAAAAGTGGAGTCGAGGAAAATCGTTCGGAGAACGAGGGCAAGATTCCCGCTCTTCATCACGAGATCTGCGCGGAGAAGCTATATCCAACGGGAAACGTGCCGGCGAACATTGTGCGAAAGCACAATAACAATTTAACCGAGGACAGACGGCCTCAGCGCAGGCTGGATATTCGAAAGAACACCTGCGGTGTTCAGACCGTTTTGCCAGATCCTCGAGGACGATGCAAGGATTCTTCCGGCAAAGATCAAGAAAAGACCGGTACCACTGTTTCGGAGAAGGTCGAGGTAACGACGGCAACGACAAAACCACAGGTGGCCGCCAGAACTGTCAACGTGTCCTTCGAGGACGAGCGTCGCGAATCGTTGTCCAGTCCGGATTCTGTTTCTGGCGGGCGCGTAACGGTGAGTCACGTGGAAAAATGCAAATGCGGTCAAGAGAGAGACGCGAACGGACCGACGCCTGCGTGCAGAGTGTGTCTCGGCGAGCAGCAGCAGGAAGCAGCGTCCTTGGCGAGTGCAGCAAAGGCTGCTGCTGGAAACTTAGACGCGGTCGTATCCTCGATCAAGGGATCCGTTCCGTGCGCGGACCGTGTCGCCGCCACAGTGCTCGTCGTTGACGAAGCAGAGCGTAAAATCACGCCCAGTGATCACGAGGACGGCAACAACAACGACAACGACAGCGACAGCAACATTCATCAGCAGGACTGGCTGGAGGAAGGAGTCCGTTACTCTTCCACGCAGATCACTCTGCACGGGGACGACATTGTCGGCGGCGGCGACGCCGACAAAGATCGCGTCAATGGTTATTACGATCATCACGAGGAGGAGAGGATCACCGATCTCGATTTCATTAGGTAGATCGTAACTCGTGATAGCGCAGAAAATTGCAATTGTGTTCGTTATTGATGGATTTTTTTTTTAATTCGCTGTCGTGATATAAACAAAGTTGAAAATGCGAATTAAAAACTTAATTATATTTGTTAGATTATGACAATTGATTTTTGTCTGATATGAAATGTTGCGCGAATCCATTGGGAAAAATGATCTGTGATGGGACAACATCGAATAACTCTCACCGACGTGCAATAATAATTAACGACATGTTAATTATCGAAGAGTCGTGTGATATAGCAGAGCCAACGACGCTAAAGCGTCGTCGTCGTCGTGCGCGCGTTGATCTGGATTTCAGCGATTCGGTGCATTTAGGAATGCCGCACACCGCTTTCTCGCGTTGCACGATAAAGCACCGCGTCAACCGGCCGTAAAGCAACTGCTTATTAGCGTTTGAAAAAGCGCACGCTCGCTCACGCCATCGGGCGTTTTATTTTTCATCCTTGACCAGTCCTCAAATCGTTTTTAATTTTCTCGGTTGTAAAAATTTATTAACACACATACCCGCCGGATTTTGCGCACTTGACTTTCACGTATCGGAAATACAATATATAGTGGAAAATTGTTAAAAACATACGTGTATTTGTTGATAAGTAATAACTTATTGACAAGTTTCTCTTATCGATTTGTTGATAAGTTTCACCGAACATTTTTTTTATATCGCATCGTTCCTTTTGTCTTATTCGTCACGAGAAATAAAATAGCGTTCGTTTTTTTTTTTTTTTTGTTTTTTTTGTACGATGTAAGATGCAAAATTATGCGAATAATTTTGCATCCGACATCGATAAATAAAACTCGCACAAAGTTGTCATTAAAAACTCATTTTCTCCTTCGCGATTTGTGTTTTTCAGTATACAAGAACGAATCGCAATGTCTTCCCTGCAAGGACTACCTCCGTTACCGAGAAGTCTGAGCGGCTTCAATCTCAGCGGCGGACGCGGCGAGAACGGCGAGCCACCTCCGCCGCCCACGAGGTCGTCCAGTAAATCCCAAAGAGGCGGTAAAACGTCGTCGTTGCAGTCGTCCTCGTCGAGACCGTCGCCACCTGCCAGACAACTCACCACTCTGGACACTCAGCTGGCTGTGCTGAGAAGAGAAATGGTACTTGTTCGCGAATACATTTGCACACTTTTCCGCGCGCGAATAAACGCGATATCGCATTTTGTCCACAAGCTTTAAAATGTAGCAAACATCTAGCATTGACAATTTGCTAGCGTTGCAAATTGCCGAAGCTTGTTTAAAGCAATGTTTGAAATTGCGCATCTTTTAACGGCAGCCATTAACTCCAATAGAAACCATTAGTCATCCGTTGCGGGCGCGAAACGCGTTTACGAGTCCGCATTGGGAAAATTTCGCGCGAAATATGCGTGCAAATTGCTTGTTACGATTTAAAAACGACCGTCGAGAGACACTTCCGCTCCCCGATCAATCGTGTCACGGATGCGATGCGTGTTAGTCGTGTAATTCTCAATTTCTTCACGTTACAAGCTCTCTGTTTATTATTCATGTGATATTTAATAACAAGTTGTTTTTACAAATTTCATATATTTACAATTTATTATACAACATATATTTTTTAAACTAATTGAACACATATTTTTCTTCGTGCTGTTTTCTTTTTCGGATTGATTTACAATTTTTTGTTTCAAGTATATTTGCTTTCATTTCTTTTTATTATTGTTATTTTTTTTTTTAATTTCAATGTTTTCCGTGAGTTATTTTTTTGTAACCATCGTCGCGTCGTGTGTGACACAAGTTCTCGCTCTGTGCCGCTTACCCTCGATAGTTCATCAAGTTGTCAGTCCGATCACGTTTCGCCCCGCACCGTCGTCGTTTTCCCTCACTCGCGCGTTGTTGTCCCTCCTCCGGCCAGGCTTCTATCTTTTTCTTTCAATTCTTCCGCGTCTGTTTGGGCGACCCGACCGATCCGTTACTTCGAGGCCGCGATCGCGCGCGCGTGTGGGATAAAATAATTGAGCGCGATGAACATATATATTTTATGCGTGGGAAGCATATAAGCGACGAGGGAAATCGGATCATCATATCGGGGCGTGATGGAGAAAGATAGCCGATAGCGTGTGTAATGTGTTCGTTTTTGTTTTTTTTTTTTTGTTATGCGGACGTTCTTACTTTTTGATAATATAATTTATTTTTTTTTTCTGCTGCGAGTTTCCATTTGCTTAACATTTGCGCATCACGTATAATTCCTCTGTCTGAGTGTTGTTGCGAGAACGCGATTAAGATCCTATCTGGGGAAACACAATGTTGTTTCGAATATCAAAGCGAATTCTTGATATTGTCTGCAGAACTTTCACAGAGACGTTTCAATCTTTGACATCTTTCTTCCTACGTGCGTGCAACAAGAGATCCTTCTCGCGTATCCTACTAACCCAACGATCGTACTAAAATTATTGCCGCACGAAAGCGACCATATTTGCTCGGCGATCTTTCCGAAATTAGCTGTAACGGGACCTCGTGTAGGATCTGTTCGAGGGAAGAGGAGCGAGAGAGAGAGAGAGGAGCGTGTATCCGTCTTGTATCTTCGTTCGCGGCAGCATCTCTCTCGACGTTCTCTCGCGTAGATACTCGAGTTAGGTTAATAATTTAATAGTCAATCCAGACACGCAAAGACTGACACAGCCGCTCCCACGCTGCGTTCCCTCAGGCATCCACTCTCCTATGCACGAATCCCCCTTTTTCCTCTTCGCTCGTTCTCTTTCACCTTCGTTCTCTCATCCAATTCTTCTCCGCTTTGTTTCTTCCTCGTCGAACTTTCCGCCGTCGACCTTTCTCGTGGTCTCTTCTCCATTCTTCGTTTTGCGTCTTTCCTACGCGGCAGTTTCCCCGCCCTCCGGTTCTCGTGATCAGCCGGCCGCGCCGAGTCGCTTGGAAATGCGTCATTTTAGTCCGTAAATCACGAGGTGAACATTTACCTTGGCGACCGTATGGTAAAAGTGAACGTATCTCGCAAAACAGACGTTACTGCGATTTAATTCTCACAACGAAAATTTTTAAAGAGCGAGCGATGTGTGAGAAAAGATCACGAATGTGAAGTTGAAGAGGAGAGACGATATTTTATAAGAAACTATAGATATTAAATAGAATCAACTATTTTATTTTTGTGACAGCTCGTGACGTTAACTTTAATTGAAGCAGCTCCATTTTTTCCGTGTGTATACAACATTATATACGTATAGTTTATATAAACTATTTCCGGTAGAAAAATCGTAAAAAATAGATTTTACAAACGTTATTTTTGTATGTTTATTTAAATACACACACGCACGCACGCACAGAGTATAACGATTATGATCTCTAATTTACATAATTATTTTCTCGTTTGCACAGTTCGGCCTGCGGCAACTTGACCTCTCGTTGCTGTCCCAATTATGGTCCCTGAACGAGTCGATTCAAGAGTTCCGGCAACTGCTGCAGGAGCAAGAGGACCGCGCGCCTTCGCCGTCGCCCAGCAGCGAGGAGGGCGACGACACGTCGTACGGAACACATCCGCCGCCGCCTCCCAGGCGACCGGCACCCACGTTGCATCATCATCGACCGCCACGACCTCCCCGGCCGCCTAGGCCGTCCGCTAGCGACGAGTCGCCGTCAAGCGAGGAGTACGGAGCCGTTTGACATATCGCTACTGAGAAGAGGAAGTACTCGAGAAGGTCTCGCTCGTCCCATCGCGCCTAGAGCGACCTAGTATCGACGCGAACGTACCTTCCAGTACGAGAATAACTTCTCTCGAGAGATTTCGGCGTAATAAAATTAACAACATCGCGACGCAATCGCGGATATCTCTTTCTCGATATCCTGTTGGTGATTCAAGATTCGTTTACGGGAAACGAATTGTCCGATTGTGAGAACTGAACTATTCCCTAAATTTTGTTTAAAGTACCTGCGATATTTCTCAGAAGGTTGTTCGAGAAATTGCGATTTATGAGACTCTTCACGATTTCGACTGACGATATTCGTTATATTGGCATTAAATCGCGAGCGAACGCGTGCTTACCAATTGCACGTTATTATATTACTACTGTCTGGAGAAGCCACTCGTGAATTGTCACTTGAAATTACAAACTTTGACGTGTGACAGAAGATTACCGAAGAGTTTGCAACGACCGTTGCGCGGAAGTTGTGTAATCCCGCATGTAGGGTAACAATTGCTTTACAGACAGAAAACTATTGCTTTGCTAATCTACCAACGAAGACCAGTTCCAACGTATGTTTCAAGACAGAAGTGAAAACTACCAAGAAGCAAGAGAGGGCTGAACGCGCGTTCACTTGGACGCGATGCTTTACTCTCTCAATTTGTGATAGCGCTCGAAGGGGCCTTTGATTAATCGCAATTGCACCCGTTTATGAACGTGAATTTCTGAGACTTCGGAGAGCAATCATAACAGATCCGAGCCTGCTATGTAGTACGATTTTTTTTTTTTTTGGTATCGTAAGGATGAACTGAGAGATTCTTTGGTGTCGAAAAAAAAAAACTGACCAATAAATCCGAAGATGTTCGGTGTTTCTTTTTTCATTTTTTTTTTTTTTTTTTTTTATACCGTTGCGTCTGTCACTTGCAAAATTGTGACACCGGTTTACTTGTGCTTCTACCGCAAAACAGAAGAAAAGACTTGACGATCCTTGAAAACTCTAACGAAAAACGCGTAATTTTCTTATCCCATATACGACATGTAGACATGTTTCCGGATGTTTTTTGTTTAAATTAATTTATTCGCGGCATCGCCTTCGCGCGTACGGTATGTAAAACTAAGATTCGGAATCTTTTTTTTTTTACGGCGTTCATTAGTTTAGACTACGAACTGTATATAAAAATATATAAAATATCATGCAAGGAAGGAAGCAAGATAAATGAGACTTAATTTAAACACACGCTTAATTTAAAATCGTTCATCCATATTCTGTTACGTTATGCATTTGCGCAATGTGTATAACTGGAAGGAGTGTCTTTACAGGATACTTAAAAATAATATTTGAGATACGTTTGTGTACGTTGTGTGAGACAAGATACCAAGAACTACGGGGAAAATGTTAAATGAAAACTGCATCAAATTGTTCTAATGTCTTTATTGCATCCGACAAGAAACATTTTATTCAAAACTTGATAAAATGAACAGAAAAATCATTTTTATTGTGTTATAAAAATAAAATAAAACAAAGTTAATTAAAAAGTAAGCATGTGCATGCAATAATAATTGTTACCTCGTCATTAGTTTCCTTCATCAATATATTACGGCGATAAAATTGTTACAAAACCGACTAAATATAATTTATATAATAGATCAGGCTCAGTGATATCTTTCGAGAAGAAAAATTCAATAAAGGAAGATCATTAAAAAAGTCGACGCAAAAATTGTAAGATGCGCAAATAAATTTTGTTTCCTCTCTTAGTGACCTTCTTTTATTCAAAAAAATATTAACTGTAATATAATATAAATTCTCAAATTTATCTTGCATACATATATAGTGCGTGTAGTACGTGTACACGATTAATTACTCTGTTAGTTTTTTTTTTTTTTTCTGCTTTATATATAGTTTGATCTTTCTATTTAAATAATGATAGAAAAAAACGAAAAACTGACACTATCGCCATGTGCATTATCCATCCGGTCACGAGGTACGCGACATTTGTTTTTTCTTCTTTTTTGGTACATGATAAAATCGTAAATATATAACATGTAAATATCACTGTAAGAAAATAAAAAACGAAAGGATTTATTAAAAATTTTTATTCCGTTATTTTCATCGTCGGATGAAAATAAACTCGTCGCATATAAATATATTATTTATCTAGAATAGAAATTTGTGCAATATCTCGGAAGACCGAGTTCGTCAATCGAATCCGATAACGTTGTTTCTTCGCTCCGGATTTATGTGATTTGACAATCTGACTAGACGCACGTAATTTTGATTGTAATCGGTGAATAGTATTCTACCGTCTGTGTACAACGCCATACCGAGCGGTCGGTCCATCTCTTGAAGACCCGGTTTATATTCGAATAACAAGGTTCCGATCGAATTAAAAACTTTAATCGCATTGTGACGGGAGTCGGCAACGATAATATGCCCGTTGTCCGACATCATGACTCCCTGAGGTCGTAAAAGAGGAGATTCGTGCGACTCCTCGCCATTTCTATCCACAATTATGTTTCTCGATTCGCAGTCGAGTACTCTTGATTCAGTCATCAAATAATTTACTATCACGATAGTATGGTGGCTAAAATCGGTAACTATCATGTTTCCTTCCCTGTTGAAGCAAATGTCCCGGGGCGAGTCCAATTTGGCCAGATCGTACGGTTTGCCGCCAAACATGCGCAAGAAAGTTCCCCTTTCGCTGAACAGTTGTATACGGCGATTTCTAGTGTCGGTAACTGCAATCTCGCAAGCGGAATTTGTCGCTATTCCCCAGGGATAATTGAATTCTCCTGGCTGATCGCCACATCTGCCGAAAGCGTCAATAAATTTACCTTGCATCGTTAAAATCTGCAACACAACAGTTCTGTTTTGTATCATAATACTTTACCTAGGATTTTTAAAAAATTCTAGAAACATATACATGTACACACACACACACACAGGAGGGGCTTCGCCCCTCCTCCATGCTCTCCCCGTTAAGAAAAAATGAAGAATTTAATTAACGACTTCCGATTACATTTGCTTCATGTCAAAATTACCAAAAAAAGTTTCATTAATAAAGCATCGTTGTCCAAACCTGTATGTTTTAGACATAATTTATTATTGTGGAATATTGGATTCAGAAAAATTATTTCAATATAAACACAAGGTAATATACACGCAAAAGGGGGAGCAGGGGGAAGAGGCGAAGCCCCCCCTGCCTAAACACAACACAAAAAAATGTACATGGAATCGAAAAATAAGAGTTTATTTATAAAACTTTTTTTGTTATTATTAACTTTTTAATAAACAACGAGCGACGGCTAAAACCTTTTTATTTATTACTCAGGAAGATGTTCTTGACAAAATATGTCATTTGGGTGACCTTTTGTACATATTTTACCAAAACAAGTATTCAATTGTGAAACTTCTTTTGTTCATAATTCGAAAACTAAAACCCACCGGGGGCAACATGTATAGGGAAAAGTTGTTCAGAATAACGCTCTTAACAATATATTTCAAGCTTATTGAAATCGGTGAGGAAGTCACGGATATATATATATATATATATATATCCGGAACATATCTAATCTCTTCGCAGAATTCTCAGTTAAAAAAACCGAATTAAAAATCAAAACACACTTACAAGCAGCGGCGTCAATACATACTTGAACGCGATGATTATCCTTGTCAGCTACGATAATACGTCTTTTCGCATCAACTGTGATACCCGCGGGACGATTAAATTCACACTCACCGCTGCCGTATTGTCCAAATTGATTTATTAAAGTCCCATCGCTCTGATAAATCTGTATGCGATTGTTAGATCTGTCGCTTACTATTATATTTCCGTCTGTGTCGACAGCGACTCCCCAAGGACGAGACAAATTTTTATCGGAGTTTTCACCGTGATAGCCGATAATCGTAACTTCTGTACTGTAGACATAGAGATTGGTTTCTCTATTAGCCAAATTTATGTTAAAATCATAATTAAGTATCGGACGTCCGAATGCTATTGGTCCGTGTTGGAGGTTCATCTCGTCAAATTTGGAAAAAGACTCGGTTTTGCGATCTCCAATGACGCCTGGACTTCTCGCAGACACGCTTCCGACGTTGGCAATTACAGGAATCACGTTGTTTTCCGTTCCTTTAAACGAAATCCAATTTTCTTGATCGGATCTGGATGATGTTCTTCGATTCTGACATATCTGCCATATCTATCAGCACACCAGGAAACACAAATATATGACATGCGAATAATTTATATAACAATAAGAAACATTCGGTAATATTTGGCACGTGTTGTGTGTTTTAGCACTAAAATTATATTTAATAATTATTCTATTTAATTACTTACAAATTATTAAACCACTTGACGGTTTTGTATTTTTATTGAAATTTAACACTAATAATTGAAATGAAACAAACCTTACAACCGATGCGACAATAATCACATGATAGTGACTCTATAGTATACAAACGTTGGAAAAGATGCTTGATCTGCGAGGATGTTGAACCGCGGCCGTTAATGCACAAAACAGTATTAGATTTTTTTTTTTTTCTGGTTTAAACAAATTATATTGAGTGCTTTTTTTATATTTCGCAATATTATTTTTCTCAAAAAACTCTTCGACATTACTAAACGAGAAAAATTTTATTTTTAGCACGTGTTGATCCATGTGTATCGTTAAAGCATGATGCAAAAAAAAAGAGATGTCCGTTCAACTTCTGTATTACAAATGCGGGGATTCTGTGCCTTGCTAAGCAGGAAAATTTTGTATCATTGAGAGGGCATGCGCTCAGAACTACTATCCCCTTCTACGAAAGATATATATTACATAAAAGAAATTAACCAATCCTAGCTTTCTACCTCCATCTGTATTTGTCGTTTTGGAAGATTCTGATTTGTTGATTTTTTTCAAATCGTGTGCCTTAACGCAAACAAAGGTGAAACGACGGGGCCGAGCTTCACGTTTGAATTTCCCAATGTGGAAGCTCATTCCTTTTGTTCCGTTTTGCTTCGGTTTACGGTTTATATGTATTGCAAAAAGTTTTTCGACTTTTAGCACAAATTCTTTTAGCACAATCTTCTAACACAAATTAAAACGTTATTTTGCATAATAACTACAGACACTGTTAGGTGGCGCGTGAGCATAACGTGTTTTTTTCGAACCGTAGCTTATTGGTTTAGACAGTTTCGTCCCGAATTTTTGTTCAACGAATTTTCGACTCACAAAACGTGTCAAAAACATTTCTAACAATGAAAAATTTAATCACATTTCTTATTCAAACATAAAATGTTTATTTAAGAAAGAAAAATTCACCTCAGCCATGACGCGATCTTTCATCTTCATGATCTCGCTTGGATGCGATCGCATTTCATAGAGCACGTATTTGAGCGCGTGAACGGCTTCCGCTAATCGTGCTTGGTCATCCCTTAAATTCGCGTATTTCTCGTGAAGAGCATCGTACTTCCACTGCCTCACTTCCGTAATTTGTCGAAACAGTTCCTTCTCCCTTTCTTCCACGGCAGCCAACATTACGTGTGAAGAAAATTGCACGCTAGCTATCGCTTCCGTAGCTCTTTTATTCAGTGTTGACATATCCAACTACAAAAAAAAAAAAAATAAATAAATGTTCTTATTGATTTTCGAAAATGTTTCGCGATTAAAACTCGCGAGCAAAAAAAAAGAAGAATTGAGAATTTTGAATAATATATAGGATGATATTCACCATTACGTCTTCCATATCGTCTGTCAGAATGTCGATTCCGTTGTAGGCTTCGTCCAAGATTTCTTCCGCCTGCAATTCAATAGTCCTCAAATATTTTGAGAAATTGGTCGTCACGTGACCGCGACAGCAAGAAGAGACGCACTCAGTACAGATTCGTTTGTAGCACGTCTGACAGTAAAGTAGCTGAGAACAGGAATGTTTCTCATAGGGTTGCTGTTCGACGTTCGTGTCGTCTGGTTCTTTGGGCGATTTCAATTTCTCTTCGTCTAGTTTCTCGTCGTTGATTATTGACGATATTTCGATTAAATCCTTAGATGTGCAAGCTTGTTGTTGATCGTGCGCAGACGCGTAACTTTGTTCCGAATTAGCTTCCGCAATTGTACAATCGTTCTTCGTAATGTCTTCTTTAAAACTATCGTACGTAATATCGTAGTCGAAAATCGATTGCTCTTCGGCAGAATTCTCCTCTTTCCTCATCTCACCTTCTTTCGCTTCGTCCAACATCTTCGTCGTTAGCGACAAATTCGACATATCTCTTTGAACATTCCAAATTCCGGTCCCGGTTTCACGTTCCGGCGATTGTTCCGAAGAATTGTTGGTCTTACGTGTCGAAGAAGCGATTTTTGCGAAAGTCACGGGAAAATCTTGTATCTGATTGTCCTGCTTGAATTCCGAAAGAAGCCGATCGGAATATTCGTTCAACGTATCTTTGAACGTAAAAAAGTAACCGAAATCATCCGAAGTCTCCGACTGAAAGTCACGAAATCGTTGGCTGGCTGCGTTTTCATCCGAACAGTCCGTTTGATTGTATTCCGCCGATCCCGGCCGGCTGTTCGCCGAAGAACACGGCCGACTGCCGTCCGAAGAAATTTGCGAAGTCGATTCCGTGCTGTTCTGACGACGCAAGCTCTGAGGACGAATTTTAGAAAATGGAACCGTCGAATCGAGAACTGAAGAGTTAACCAAACACTTTGGATGTTGCAGAAATTCATCCAGAGGAGAAGACGCTTCCGCGAAATTATTCGGACTGGAATCCGAATATGATCTCTTCTGCACGACGTCCACATTTTGAATGGAATCGTCTCGCAATCCGGCCTTAGAAAAATTTACACACACGAGATATATTTAGATAGATCAATTAGTTTTTACAATATATTGTGCATAAAACATATTGTTACAATTATGTGTTTAAGATATTATAAAAGATATTATATATTTAAAAATATTTATATTGAATGCACATTATACGATTGCGTTCCGATATTATTTACTGCTCCTGCGAAAATCTACAGCGCATGTGTGACGTAAAATACAGATTTTTATTACTGACAGTATATATATATATATATATGTATATCGGAACGCAGCTTATATATGCGATAAAACTACACGAGACAAAAGAAAATAGATGTACATACCTGTACAGTATCACGAAACAAATCGCTGTAAGATCTTGACTGACTCATTATGGCAGGTGAAGATCGTTGCTCCGAGCGTGTCACAAATTATTATTTTTTTTTTACCTATTTTTATGAAAAATTTTGCTTGCCTTTATATATATTCGAAATATACAAAAGAAAATAACAGAAATGAACTGTGAACTTTCAAAATCAAATTTCACGCTTATTTGTATATATAAGAATCACGATACACACGTGACCTCTGCAAAATGTACACGTATCTATCTGCACACAACAATGAAAACTTGAAATCTCTGAACTTGTAACGGTTTTAATATCAAAGAAGGTTATAAGCTGCTGCTTTTATCTCATCAATCTTCTTAATCGCTCGCTGTCGCTTCAAATGATCTTTTTACACCATTTCGAAACCGACAATATTTTACTACGTCGTACAAGTTGCGATCATCTTTTTTAATATAGAACACAAAATATCGTTCGAAGATTCGGTTCTATCGTTCGTAATAACTGGCATCGCGATATGTTCCGACAGATTAACGATCAAAATCTTTCAGCTTTATCGAAGAACAATGACACATCCCGAAGTCCCGTAAAGAAAATATGCGAAAAAAACTGGTCTCCGACTTAATGACGGATTTAATTTCTTAGTTTTACCGTTTTTTTTTTCGGCTGGCTTCTATCTTGATTTTATCTCGTTGCTTCTCCTTGAAACGCAGCGCGAATTTGTGACAAATGTTTGTCGAATCTCCAGTCAGTTCTTGTTGTTCGAATCGAACTAACCGATTTGTCGTGTTGTGTCTATAATAGTATGACTCGAAACACGCGCGTCGAGGTCGCGCGAGACAAAACGCGTACGACGAAAAGCGTGAGACGAAAGTGCGCGCGCGGGAAGAGAATGTTTCTTCTTTTTTTTTTTTTTTTTTTTCAGACAGTCGCAAGTGTGTAAAGAGTTTAGAGATGATTTTTATTGTATATATATATATATATATACATACATATGTATATAATAAGTTTCTTCGATAAAGCAAGTTTTCTTTGACAAGATAAGAACAATTAACGAGATTAGATAAATAAATAAGCGCCAAATTCTATCTTTGAGAAAATTAAATTTTTGAAAAACTTGTCCGTAACTCGATAGTCTTGGATCAAGATCTGCGTGTTCAATTTCAAAAAGGCGTGGGAATTCGCTTTGCAAATCAATTCGATTTGTGTGACGAGGAAAGATTAAAAAAACTTTTGTATGTACACCATATACTTTGTATTGTTCAGATACATATATATTCTAGATATATTTTTTCTCGTAGAGATCAATCTGCACAATTTGGCACTGCACATTTCCATCAAAGAGCTTTTCGATGAACTTTCATGTAAAAGAGTCGCCGCGGACAAACGCTGCGGCTCATTTATCTTTTCCCTGATTTCGATACAACTATTCTGATCGCTCTTTGCAGCACTCATTGTTGCATTGTACGCACGCACACACCCACACACCCACACACACACATGCACATGCACAAGAATTATATACAAACGCATATATAAGGAAAAAGCGGAAGTCAATTCAGTTGTTGAAATCTTTGAATTACTTTGCGCGGCCTAACTTTACAATTGCTTGAATTAAAAATAAAATGAAGATTTAAGAAAAAAAAAAGATTTTATTTTACAGGTTCTAAAAAAGCTAATGACACGCTGTAAACTATTGTATGAGCAACTTCGTGTGTGTGATATGCAAAATGAACGTGAAGAATATTCTTTTAGTGTCTTTTCGGACAAATATACGTATATTACTTTTTTTGATTTTTACTTGGCACTTATTTATACAACTTCGTTTTTTTTTTTTTTTTTTTTTTT